CTATTTCTGTGAAAAATGCCATTGGGATTTTGATAGCGATTGCTTTGAATCAATAGATTACTTCATGTAATATAGACATTTTTACAGTATTATATTTTCCAGTCCATCAACATAGCCTGTCTTTCCATTTCTTTGTGTCATCTTCAGTTTCCTTCAGTGTCTTTATTATACAGGTGGTCTTTCACCTCTTAGATGAAATTTATTCCTAGATATTTTATTCTTTTTGTTGCGATTGTAAAGGCATTGTTTTCTTAATTTCTCTTCCTGATAGTTTGTAGTTAGTGTATAGAAATGCCACAATTTTTGTATATTGATTTTGTACTCTGCAATTTTACTTTATTATTTCTAATAGTTATTTGGTAAAGTCTTTAAGGTTTTCTGTATATAAAATTATGTCATCCACAAGTAGTGACCTTTACAATTTGGATGCCTTTTATTTATTTATTTTCTTGCCTAATTGCTCTGCCTAGGACAACTAGTAAAAGTGACTAGAGTGGACATCATTGTCTTGGTGGTGATCTTAGAAGAAAAGATTTCCGTTTTTTATTGTCAAGTATAATGCTAGTTGTGGTTTTGTCACATATAGCCTTTATTATGTTGAAGTACTTTCCTTCTGTACCTATTACTGAGAATTTTTAAAAATCATGAATGGATGTTGACTCTTGTGAAATGCTCTTTCTGCATCTGTTGAGATAATGATTTTTATCCTTTGTTTTGTTAATGTGGTATATCGCATTGATTTGTGAAAATTGAACTGTTCTTGCATCCCTGGAATTAAATCTCACTTGACCATGGTATATGATTCATTTATTATATTGTATTTAGTTTGCTAATATTTTGTTATGTATTTTTGCATCTATGTTCATCAGAGTAGAGTGTGAGTGTGTGTGTGTGTGTGTGTGTGTGAGAGAGAGAGAGAGAGAGAGAGAGAGAGAGAGCGCGCGCGCGCATGCGCGCGAGCAAGATATGTTTTCGGTGTCAAGGAAATGTTGGCCTCATAAGGTGAGTTAGGAATTTAGGAAGTGTTCCTTCTTCTTCAACTTTTTGGTAGAGTTTGAGAAGGATAGGTATTGAAAGTTTGGTAGAATTCACCAATGAGACCATCTGGTCATGGACTGTTTGATTACTATTTCAGTGTCTTTTCGGATTATCCAGTTTGTTAGCTATGGCTGTTTATAGTAGTCTCTTAAGATTCTTTGTATTTATGGTATCCATTGTAACTTTGTATTTACGGTATCCATTGTAACTTTTTTTGTTTCCGATTTTATTGAGCCGTCTCTCTTCCTTGTCTAGCTAAAAGTTTGTCAATTTTATATATCTTTTCAAAGAACCAGCTCTTAGTTTCATTGGCCTTTTTTTTTTTTAGTCTATTTCATTTATTTCCACTCTGATTTTTTTTTTTTTTTAAGGCAAGGCAACCTTTGGTTGACCTCACAGATTGCAAGGACCTTGTCAGCTTACAATCCCTTATTTTTTAATTTTTTTATGCCTACCAGCACTTGGTCTTCCTAGGTGGTCTCTCATCCAAGTACTAACCAAGGCCTGACCCTGCTTAGCTTCCGAGATCAGATGGGATCCGGCTTGTTCATGGTAGCATGGCCGTAGACCACTCTGATTTTATTATTTCCTTCTTTCTACTGAATTTGGGCTTCATTTTGTTTTTCTTTTTGTAGTTCTTTTAGTTTTAAGATTAGGTTGTTTATTTGGGATATCTTGTTTCTTGAGGTAGGCCTGTATTACTATAAACTTTCTTCTTAATACTGGTTTTAAGAAGAAATCACTGGTTTTGTTGCATAGACTTTGGTGTGTCGTGTTTTTGTTTTTATTTGTCTCCATGTATTTTTTGATATCTCCTTTGATTTCTTCACTGACTCAACAGTTTTTCAGTAGCATGTTGTTTAATCTCCACATATTTGTGATTTTTTCAGTTTTCTTCTTGTTGATGTCTACCTTCATACTGTTGTGGTCAAAAAAAATTCTTGATTTTATTTCCATCTTAAATTTATTGAGACTTATTTTTTCCCCCCGACATATAGTCTGTTTTTGAAAATGTTCCATGTGCACTTAAGAAGAATATGTATTCTGTTTGTTGGTTTTGGTGGAATGTCCTGTATATAGCTATTAAGTCTATCTGGTTAAATGTGTCAGTTAAGGTTGATGTTTCTTTTTTGACTTTTTGTCTGATCTATTCTTCGGTGTTAGTGGGATATTTAAGTTCCCTGTTACTGTGTTTCTGTCAATTTAATTCTGTTAATTGTTTTATATGTTTTGGTATATATATAACATGTCTTTTTGGAGTGTCCCTTTGATCATTATATATGCTCATCTTTGTTTCTTGATATCTTTTTTGGCTTCAGTTCTATTTTGTCTGCTACACTTGCTTTTTTAAATTGAGATAACACTGTTTGATAACTACATCTGATTTCTTTGGCTATCATTTGCTTGGAGTATCGTCATCCACCCCTTCACTTTGCGTGTGTTAGTCTGTAGATCTAAGATGAGTTGGGTTTTGTTTTTTAAATTATCCAGCTGCTCTTCGTCTTTTGATTGGTGAATTCACTCCATTTGCATTTAGGGTAATTATGGATTCATAAGTACTTAGTACTGCTATTTTTTCTTTTATTTTCTGGTTATTCCATCTCTTGTGTTTTTGTCTACCATTTTAGTTTGGTGGTTTTCTATAATGTTTTTCTCAGTTTCTTTTTTTTTCTTTTTAATATTTTATCTCTTTGCTCTAGATTTTTGTTTTATGGTTACCATGCAGTTTATATAATACATCTTGTAGCTAAAATAGTTCTTTTTCTGCTGATAGTATCTATTTTCGTTTGCCTGTGCAGAGTTCTGTTCTTTTCTTCCTCCTTTTATGCTATTATCACAAAGTATCCTTTTTTATATTATTTGTTACCAAATTGAAGTAGCTGTAGTATTTTTAATGCTTTTTGTTTCCCTTTAACTTTCATGCTGTAATTATCTAACAACCTATTCTCCTATAGAGTTGCAGATGTCTTACTCTATTTATCATTTTAATGTTTTATATACTTTTGCTTTATCATTTCAGGTAGAAGAGCTCCTTTTCAGCATTTCTTGCAAGGCAGGTCTGGTAGTGGTGAACTCCCTCAGCTTTTGTTTTTCGGGGAAAGCCTTTATTTCTCCTTCATATCTGAAGGATAACTTTGCTGGATAGTTTTTATTTTTCACTATTTTGAATATGTCATTTCACTCTCCTGGCCTGTGGGGTTTATGTAGAGAAATCAGCTGTTAGCCTGATGAGTGTATTCCCTGGCTGCCTTTAAAATTCCTTCTTTATCATTGACTTTTGACAGTCTTAATGTGTCTTTTAATGTGGAGAAGGTATTTTTGCATTGAGATAATTAGGTGTCCTCTTAGTTTTGTGGATTTGTACATTTGGAAAGTTCTCATCTATTATTTCTTTAAATAAGCTCTCTGCTCCCTTCTCCTTCTTCTTCTCTTCTCTTTCTAGAATACCCATTATCTTTACGTTGCCATTTCTAATGGAGTTGGATAGTTCTTATAGAGTTTCTTTACTTAAAAAAAAAAATTGTTCTCTCTTCTCCTCTGCTTAAACCATTTCTAGATTTCTGTCTTCCAGCTGTCTCTCTTCCATGTGATCTACTCTATTTCCAATGCAGTCTAATGCATCCTGCATCTCATTGAGTTTTCAGCTCCAGAATTTGTTTCTTCGTTGAAGTACTTCTCTTTCCTGAGCTTGTTGAACTCCTTTTCTGAGTTTTCTTGGAGCTCTGTTGAGGTTCTTCATGATGGATATTTTGAATTCTCTATCAGTTAGATCACAATCTCCTGTTATTTAAGTGTAGTTTTTGGAGAATTATTTTCTTTTTGTGCTACCATGTTACCATGGTTTTTCATAGTGTTTGATGGGTTGTGCCTCTACAAGTGGGTGCCTTTGAAATAGCAAATACTTTTCTTATATTGGTATAATTTTGTTGGTTACTTTGATTCTAAGAGTTCAACAGATTGGTAATTACAGGGCTTTCTTTTGTTTTCCAGTAGGTGGTGCTATAGCACATGTTTTTGGTTTCTCTTACTGAGTTGCCTCTGGCTGTATTTGAGAACCAGAACTTTCCACCCCGCACCAGAGGAGCCCCCTGATGCATTTGTTGTTGCCGTTTGTGACTTTGGTATCACTGTTGCTGGTGTCCCTGGGGTCACCCCCCAGCGTCACCAAGATGGTTGGTACATCCACTACATAGAGAGTTGCCGAGGCCGTGGGCACTACTGCCAAGATGGGATGGGAGGATGGAGAGTGGAGGGAGCCAAGGTTGTGGACACTACCGCAGTAGAGAGGCTGAAGTCATGTACACTGCCTTAGAGGGGTGGCAAGAGGCATGGGTGCTACTGGGATTGGAGCTGGAGAGACCAGGGTAACGGGCTATACCTCTACTGTTTCCCCAGTTCCACTTCCTCTGTGTGTTCCAATCCATCCATCTTCAGCTGTACGGATGTGTGGTTCTCTCAGGTGTCCTGGTGTGTTGGGCGAAGAGCCCTTATTGAGTCATGGATGTTTTATTTGTTGTAGATTGAAGGGAAGAGACAAAGGGCTGCTGACATCACTGCCATGGTTATTTCTTTAAAACAAGCTTCTAGAAGTAGAATTGTGGGATTAAGAGACATACTTTTAATGCCAAAGTGTGCCCCAGAAATTTCATACCAATTTATATTCCAACAGGATAGGTATTTTTTCTGTTTCTGTGTGAGTATACTCTTAGTAGAACTTTTTCCTTTGCTTTCTTTTTTTTCTCTTTCTTAAAGGACTCTCACGCTACACTCACATCCTTGCACATAAAGTCTGAGAAATTAAGTCAGATCTTAGTAGAGGATGGGTGGGGCCACAGTGATAGCAGGTCTTGACAATGGTCAGGGCTGGAAAGCTGCTTCACCCCTCATTGCACACTTGGTTGCTCCCCTGCACTTGGGCAAATGTGGGTTTGCGTTAAAACCATTGGACTTCTTTGTTTCAGGTTACACTCCTGGCACACCTTACAAAGTATCCTGTTCCCCTACCAGCGGGGCGGTGCCACCATACTCCTCCTCTCCCAACCCCTACCAGACTGCTGTATATCCTGTGCGAAGTGCCTACCCCCAGCAGAGCCCATATGCACAGGTAGGCCTGGGTCGCACTGTAAAGCTCTTTATGGTGCTCTTGGGCACTGTGTATGTGGAAGGGTCGATTCCATTTGGGCTCTGACCCACTGGGTATGGTATCTTGCTGCAGTGTCTCTCTTCTTCCCCACAGCAAGGCACATACTACACACAGCCCCTGTATGCAGCACCCCCTCACGTCATCCACCACACCACGGTGGTGCAGCCCAACGGCATGCCAGCGACGGTGTACCCTGCTCCCATCCCTCCACCGAGAGGCAATGGGGTCACCATGGGCATGGTGGCTGGGACCACTATGGCCATGTCAGCAGGTGAGTTGACCCTGGGGTGCCTGTTCTGTGGTAGCATGAGAGCTGGGAAGGGAGAGCTCACTAATATTTCAATTCTTGGCTATGGTTTTTCATGTCTAGAGTTGTGTGGAAGGACATAGGATTCTTTTGGGAATTGAGAGCATATTATTTTTTTCTGTAACCTCCCTCCTTTTCCTCTGCTCTTTTCAGTTGAGTTTAGAGTAACAAACCATGAACCAGGTACCCTCTCCATAGAACATGACTGGACAGCACTCTCTGAATTTGATGAGATCACTTTGTTGGTGAGCTTAGCTGTTTGGCAGTAGGAATGAGGAGTGACCATATTGCCACAGTGAGCATGTAAAGCTTGAGGAGAAGGGGTTCTTTGTGTTCTGTGGGGGCAGGCCCTCTTTGTAATTGCCCTTAGTATGGGCTCCCTTTGTAGGCCAACTTGTCTGAATGGAGATGTTTACATGAATCTAGTAAAGCTAACCTGTGTTAATAGAGATCCTAGCTGCTTGTAGAAATTTTTTGTCATTCATCGACTTTATTTCCCAAGTCTTCTCCTAGGTCAGGAAAGTAAACCACAGAGAAACGAGAGCCCTGGCTAGGATGGGCACATCTCCACAAAACCTTTGCATCTCTTAGGGCCCGATGTCATGCCCAGGGATTAGGTTCCCTCCTAGGGGCATGTGGGTTGCCTGTGGCAGGGGACCAGGTACACACAATGCCCTTGGTTGCTCATGGCTGGGACTTTGTAAGAAAAATATCTTTCTCTCTTTGTTTTTCTAGACTTTACTTCAATGTAAGGAAATTGTGCCAGAGAGAAAAGTGTTTTAGGATACCCTGCATGTTTCTGCTCAGTCTCTATTTTCTTTAAGTTTCCTATACTTCTCTTTGAAGGCAAAAGAGATTGTGCCACAAGTAGAAACTACATGGGCATGTGGAAGGAGGGGAGACCAGCCCTGGGGTGGATGTGGGCAAGGAGACAGGAGAGTGAAGAGATGCAAGATATGGGGCATCTCTTAGGTTTGAGGTATTCTTGCTTATAATTGGACTCAGATAGTTACTGACTTTAATTATAGGGGAAAATACGTTTTATCTTAATATACTCAGAAGCTTATGTAGTTTGAAATCTCCCTCCATCTCTCTCTCCCATTTATTATCTTATTAACCATTTTTAAGTATACAGTTCAGTAGTGTTTAGTATATTCACAATGTGGTGAAACAGATCTTCAGAATTTTTTCTTCTTGAAAAACTGAAGCACTGTACCCATTAAACAACAACTCCCCTTTTCCCCTGCCCGCTTCAGCCCCTGGCCACCACCATTCTACCTTGTGTGTCTATCAGTTTGACTACTTTAGGTACCTCATATAAGTGGAAACATAGTATTTTTCTTTTTGTGACTGGCTTTTTTTCACCTAGCATAATGTCCTCAATGTTTATACATGTTGTAGCATATTATAAATTTTCTGCTTTCCCAAGGCTGAATAATAATTTTTAAAAATTTTATTTATCATCTGATCTGCAAAGATAATGGCGTATGCTTCTATGAAGGGGAGGCACAAAGGCGTCTACAAGTATATTATCAGTATGAGCTTGGTGTTTATACACTTTGAGCTGTTATCAATCAGAGTTCTGACAACACTTGAGGCCAAGGCTCAACCCCTCTTTTTGTATACCTCCCTCCTTGTCAGGCAACATGGAGCTGTGCAGCAGTATAAGCCCAGCCTTGTGTGTGGACAATGCTGCCTGCCACTGAGACATGCTGCTCTTTCTTCCAGGTACCCTGCTGACCGCCCACTCCCCAACTCCTGTCACCCCCCACCCAGTCACTGTGCCCACATATCGGGCTCCAGGAACACCCACCTACAGCTACGTGCCCCCTCAGTGGTGATCACCCTGCAAATGTAAGTGACTGGTGAAGCCTGGGTCGACTCTTGAGAATGGCAAATCTACCACAATTTAAGCACTAATGAGAAAAATGCTACCTATTGATCCAAAGGCAGTGCAGTGTTCAAATTTTTGTTTATATTGTTTGTATACTTGCTGTGTACACTGTGCGATTGATTTCATGTACCCACCTCCTGCAGGAAATAACATTCTGGATGTAACTGGATGTCTCTGTGAGGTCCAGAGGATTCAGGAATAGTGGCTTTTCTTTCTGCTGCCCTTTCTGGTTCTTGTGGATTTCATCCTCCTCAACTTGTGGATTTCATCCTCCTCCTTTTCAGAGCAGCTGTGCCAGAGGAGCGCTGTCTGACTGTGTGTCTTTCTCCCCCCACCCAGGTTTGAGGATGGAGCTGTGCAGTCACATCATGGATATTCCACAGCTGGTGCTGCAGGCCTCGTGCCTCCAACCAGGACTTTTCTTCTTAATGCTCTCGACACTTAGCTAAACACTACTGCAGCCCAGCCCAGCACATCTCAGCACCATAAGTCTCCAGCAGACTCTGGGTTGGTCCTAAAGCAAATCCTCTTTGGGGGCTGCCTGGCAATTTTTTAGCTACCTGTAATGATAAAGAGAGAGTATTAATGTATTCTGAAATCATATCTAGTTGAATGCATGTTTAAAAAAACACAAAAACAAAGCTTGCTCAAACTACCTGCACTGACTGATGCAAAAACCATCATATGCAAAATCCAAAGGAATGGAAAAGTATTTTACAACTTGTATCACTAATGCAGTGTTGTAATGTATGCAGTCTTAAAATTGTAAGTGTTAAAGTGAATTTCTTCATCGAGCATCTAGAATCTCTTAAGTGCTTCTTCAGCCTTTTGGAGTTGATGTGAGTTGCCAGCTGGAAACACGAAATTCAAGTTTTTAACCGTCAGTTTCTATTGCACTGACTGCACTGGGAGGGAGTTGCAGGGTCAGGGAGAGTGTAGGGAGGGCAACAGCTGCTTTGGGTGCTGCCAGGTTAATGGGCATCCCTGTCTGTCCATTTAGGCTTGTGGAGTCAGTGTGATGTGGACATTCTTAAAGATTATCGTGAAAGATTTGAATTCTGTGGCTAGTACATTTAGGGGCAAGAGGCAGATTGTCTATTAAGCAAAGCAGTTTTTTTCTGAATTGCTATCTAAATTTTCATTACAAATCTCTTACGAGTAGAGATGCTGTGTTCTATGTCTTTATTGGAAAAACCTGTGTAGAATTGAATTTCTTTGGGATGGAAGATATGTGAAAGAGAAACAGCTACTCTTGGAGGAGGTATTGGCCTCTCCTTGATTTGGCTTAGAAAATCATTCCTTTTCTTTTCTAAGAAATGTTTGAGTCAGCTAAAAACATATATAGGCATTGCTGTTCTTACCCCTACAAAGAAGGGCAAATATTTCAGCTCTGTTCTGAAGGAAGTTGTATAGTTAAGAACTACTAAAAGGGAACAAAACCTGATTTGGAATTGATTGCTTGCTGTAGCGAGTCAGGGCCACAGCTGTATTTGGGCCTGTCTCCCTGATGGGGACTTAATCATCTCAGACTCTCTGGAGACAGGTGTGGAGGCGATGCGAGGGAAAGGCTGGTTCCTGTTGCCTGGGAGCTTCTTTTGCCATCTCTTCTCGCAGACAAGGGCACTCAGCACAAAGCAGGTTCTGGACAGGAAAGTGCCGGGCAGCATCAGAATGCATGTGCCTGCCAAGATTTATTATGGAAAGGATTTTGTGTTTAAAATATGAATATTGTACATAAGAAATCGAGGATCTTTTTTTTTTTTTTTTTTTTTTTTTTTTTTT